AGCTCCATGTGAGCCCACGAAAAACGTGTAAGAATATTGAATTTGATGGACAGGCAGCAGAACTATAAATGAAAATATATGCTAGTAACTGAGCTCCCGAGGCATGGTGGCTAGTTTTGAACACAGGTACTGTCGTTCAGAAATCAAAACAGCTTCTTTACTTAACAAGCGTATTACGAGCATCTACCGTGGGCAGGTGACACAGATGACAAAGGTGAGCAAAGGTCACAAGGTCCCTGACCTCTGGGAGCTTAGAATCTGGTAAGCATGACAGATTGCTCGAACCAACCAAATAAATACATAATTACCAACTGTGATAAATACTGTGAAGGGAAAATTGAGGGTGTTCAGAGAGCAAAACAGGGGACCTAGCTGGATTAGGAAGATCTTGGGCCTGGAAGTGAAGGATGAACTAGCTGGGATGGGGACTATGGAACCAGCGTGTGTGACAGGTCTGGGGCTAAAAGAAGTGTCACCCTTTTCAGGAGCAGAAGGAAGGCCTGAGTAGTGTAGCATGAAAGGGAAGGCAGAGAGGGAAGATAAAGCTGGGGAATCCAGTGAGGCAGCCCTGTCAGCCACAGGAGGGATCAAGAGGTTGTGGTCTTTGTCCTCTGAGGAAGGGGAAGCCACAAAGCTAAAGATGCGCTCTCAGATCAGCAACTGAAATTTGCAGTTCAAACACCCACACAGCCCTCTTTCCAAATACCACCTGTGCACCCCACACCTGACTTCAGATGCGTTGCCACATGATCATGATTGGAAAGTATTTCAAATATGTGTGTGTTACTCACCATTTACCACCTTGGGAAACGTCTCTGATCTCTAAGTTATTATCCCTTGGCCCCCTGGTTTTCCAAAGATAGCCACAACACACATGCCCATCTTATACACCAACACACATGCCCGCATGCTCACCTTACCATATACCCCACCACTCCTCCACTGAGTGGTAAGTGGTGGCATCTCTGTCCCCCTCTTTTGAACTTGGGCTGACATCTGTCACTGCCTTGGCCAAAAGAAAACAATGGAAGTCATACTGTGTGACTTTTGTGGCTAAGACAGAAAAATGCCATGTACTTCCCCTTTATCCTCTTGGAACCCAGCTGCTGTGCTCTGAGGAAGTTCAAACTAAGGCACATGGAAAAGCCATACGGAGAGGCCACACATAGTTTTTCCGGTTGACAGCCCAGTTGAGGGTCCCAGCCACCAGCTGGCATCAACTCCAGACACTGGAGTGATGTTGCCTCCAGAGGACTGCAGACCCAGCTGGCAAGTCACCCAGCCTTTCACTCCTTCCAGCAGAGGCCCCAGACGTGGAGCAGAGACAAGCCATCCCTACTACACTTTGTCCAAATTCCTGAGCTAAAGTATCCATGAGCAAAAAAATAAAATGGTAGTTTTACACCACTATACTTTGGGGTAATTTGTTATTAGCAATAGTAACTGGGCCAGAATATATATATGTACATACATACGTATATACATACATACATATGTGTGTGTCTGTGTATGTCTGTGTATATATATATATATATATATATGTTTTGAGCAATATATATTACTTTTTTTTTTCCTTACTCATTATTCACCTACCCAGGAACTTTCTAGAGGACATGTCTATAATCACTCCTGAGTTAGAAACTCTGGGCTTTTTTGACATGACTTCTGGGGAAAAAAAGATGACCAGGTTCCTTACTTCAAACAAAAATTAAACACTTTCAAACCACTCGAAACACACAAAAGTAATCCATTCTCACTGCAAAAAAAAACAAGATAAAGAAACCCCCCCCCCGTTAGCAAATCTGACACCTTATTTCTTTTTTTTTTTAAAGATTTTATTTATTTATTTGACAGAGAGATCACAGCAGGCAGAGAGGCAGGCAGAGAGAGAGGAGGAAGCAGGTTCCCTGCTGAGCAGAGAGCCCTATGCGGGGCTCGATCCCAGGACTCTGAGATCATGACCTGAGCCGAAGGCAGTGGCTTAACCCACTGAGCCACCCAGGCGCCCCTGACACCTTATTTCAATTGGCTTTGAAAACAGATAAGAAATGAGATCTTTATCAGCAATATCTAAATAGAACACCCAGGCCCACTTGCTTCCTCCACCACCAAAAGCTCGGGGCATCCGCAAAGTGTGTGTGCAAGTTTAAAGAACACAACACATGAAAAGTGTCCTTATTTTAGCACGGTGCCTGGCATGTAAGAGCCCACCAAGTTCCAGTTATTATTACTGCTTTTGTTACCATGAGGGTTAACCTTTGTCTTGATTACAGCACTAACCCTTCCTTTAATAATGCCTGTGTCCCATCTCAGAGAAAGGAATTTAGACTGGAGTTCGGTCAGATGTCCAGGAAGGGAGCTCAGATTCCATACCATCAGGAATATTATACAACACTGTGTAACACAACTGCAACACCTCTCTATCTGGGATTGGTGAAAGGACTGTGCTCTTTATATTAAAAAATAAAAAGAAAGAAAGAAAGAAAGAGAAAGAAAAAGAAAAGAAAAATTAATATGCGTTAGAATACAGGCTTCTGCTTAGTTACGTTTAATCACTGCATGGCTTTCAAGGTAAATAAATAAAAAATCCCCCTTTGATCATTAGCAAGGTACCCCCATGTGTTTATATAAATATTACAAAGCTGCACCCAGATGGTGGCATGAATAGCAGGGAACAGAGGTGGGATCAAACAGCCAGGCCACCTTGGGCTGGTTCTTCCCTCTATGCCCCAAATGCTGTGTGACCATAAGCGGATCACTCAGCCTCTCCCAGACACCGTGTCTTTAAAATGAGGCTAAATTCCAAACTTTTTATCCATACTGAAAGGACCCTTAAGTAGAATAACACCCAAGTTTCCAGGGTAAAAGTCACTATTCAAATGCTTAAGTATGCTGAATGACAACTGCCCCCCAAGCTAAATGATCACTTGCAGATTCACACACATTAATTAATTAGCTCAAAAAAACTAGCTCAAAACACCTGAGCCTTGCTGAGAATCAGCTAGGCATCATGTAGTGAAATAACGAGTATCTACTTAAAGAAAAGGTGACAGGGGACAGAATTAGGGTGGGCATGCCATTTGGGGGCTGGATGACATCCTTCTTTGCACTGCTGGCTTTTCACTGTTACCTTCAGTTGCTGGGGTGGGGGTCTTCTGAAGCCCTACATTTCTGGGAGAGGAGAGAGAGGCAGAAAGAATATGGAAGGAGAGAGACCAAGGGAAGGGATGGGGAAAAGAGCCGTGCTACGGAACTATGCCCAAGTTGGTGGCACCTGAATAGAAATGTCACTGTTAGGGAAACCATTTCAAAATGACATTTGAGTCACCAGGTTTTAAGTTTGCACAGTGTCTGCCACCTCCTTTCCCCCTGAACATCCCAGCTTTCCCAGGGCCCAGGCAGCCCCCTGTCACTGATGGACTTAACTGTATGGGTCACATTCTCCATCCAGAAAAATGTCTTTCATATCCTGACAGCGGTGGGAACTCTAGGACTCACAGAGCCCCAGCATGCAGGAAAAAATGGCCGGCACGTAATTGACTTCGCATGGTCCTTTCCAAAGGTGGCACCAAGTACAGACTGGCTTTGCACTCATAAAAATCCGGTAGATTAGAAGGCAGTGAAAGGAAACCCTTCTCGGGAAAAGCAGTCGGTAGCTGCTCTTGGCAGGTCTGGCACTGCCCTCTGAGAGAGGTCCAGCTTCCCTCCCCAGCACAGCCCCCTTCCCGATGCCGGCCCCCATCACCAGATAATCTGGGATTCAGGAAAAAGGAAGAGAGCTGTAGTCCCAAGGGCTCCACTGAAGACCCAGGCGGACTCTCTCATATTACCATATATGAGGAAGTCTGTCAAGAGGTCTGTTAAGACCTGAACCAAGCCCGACCATCTGCTTCCCCCCCCCCCGGAAGAACGAGACCAGCCAATTTGGGGGAGATCCCTTCTTTAATTGATGTCACCCTTTCACCATCACTATCGAAAAGATTTTATTCTGCACTTCCTAACGCCTTGTATCAGGGCTACATCTATCTTAACACCAAGGCACGGATTTGTAATGGCTTTTTCTCACAACCATTTTTACGGCTGTTTTCCCACGAATTGTGCCACTTGAACGGCTGGGATATAAAACCGTTTTTACAACAGTTATTCTTCCAAGTCTCTCCCTCCGTTATTTAGACAGCTGCCCCCCAGGGTCCAAACTGTTTTCAGTGGACAACTGTTCTGAGCACATTTCTCCACAAGGTCTATTTCAGCTCAAGAAAAGCCAAGGACAAAGATAAGACAAAAGTTGTGGGTAAAGGGCGGACCCACTGCAGGGCACCGTGAGAGCAGTAGAGAGCCTGATGGGCAGGACAATCTAAATCATTTCTTCCAGACCTGGAAGGCACAAAAGGGATCAGTCTTCCCAGTCTGTGTTCAGTGAAAGAGAACAAGTAGATCCTTAAACCCTAGCCAGGTGGCCAACACTTTTTCTTTTCCTACCCGAAGTTCCCGGCACCTGCTCTGGAAAAGCGGGTATGGAGCCCTCTACCTGGTCCACACCGCGTGTTCTATATGGAGAACACTGGAGAATTACGTTTTCACCAACCAGCCCCCCTTCGTGCTCTCAACAAGCCAAAGGTGTACAGGTGGTTACCTGCACAGGTACCGAGTCTTACCAGGACAACTTTGTTGGGCCGGGGCGGGGGTGTACCTCCTTAGGGTAACAGTCCCCACCGCCTCTACCACCAATCCCTCCTCCAGCCGGTGGGTTAGAAGGATGGAGCCAAGAGGCACAGGTAAGGGTTCCCGGGGCGAGCCCGGCGGCTCCGCGTGCGGTCTGCGTCTCCACTGCGCGGTCCTAGCCTCCAGGGCCCCCTCCTTCCGAGCCCCCCAAGGGGCAGGGGGAGTCCTCGTGCCCGGCACCCCCTCCCACCGGCCAGCCTGCTCGCCCCGCGCCCGGCCCGGGAGCCCCGAGCTGCCGGAGCCGCAGCGCCCACTCGGGGCGAGCCGCGAGCACTCACCATTATGCTCTTGCATGCTCGACAGCGACCAGAGCAGCAGCGCCACCAAGGCCAGGAAGCAGAGCTGGCTCAGCAGAAGGTCCCTCCGGCGGCTCCGGCGACGCTCGCGGTCCTCGTCGTCGGGCGACGGCATCCTCGGGCGGCAGGGCAGCGGCCCCGGCGGGGGCCCCGGCGGGCGCCGGCCGCTCCTCTCGCGGGCGGCCGCGGCAGGGACGGCGGCAGGAGGCAACCCTGCGCGCTGCAGCCGCGCGTCCTCGCTGCGCTCCCGCTCGGCCGCCGCCTTCTCTTCCTCTTCCCCGCCGCTGCCGGGCTCGTCGTCTTCGTCCTCGTCGTCGCTGTCGCTCAGTCCCTCTTCGCCCTCCTCCTCCTCCTCTTCGCCGCTGGCCCGCGCCGCCGCCTCCCGGCGCTCGGGGTCCCTCTCCTCCTCGCGCGCCATGGCTCCCACGCTCGGCGTCCGCGCTCGGCCTCGGGCGGCGGCGCGGCGGGGGCGGCGGGGGCGGCCGGGAGGCGGGGGCGGCGGCGGCCGAGGAGGAGGAGCGGGGAAGGACCGGCGGGAGGAGGGCCCGCCGCTAGCCAACTCCGCCGGCTGGTGAGGCCACCCGGTCTGGCTCCGGCCTCGCCGGCTGCGGGAGCGCGTCGCGGGGCCGCCCGCCCCCTCACTCCATGGTCCGCGCGCGGGGAGCGGGGAGCCGGGGCCGAGCGGGGCCGGGGCGCGCCGGGAGCACGGGCGAGGCGTGAGCACGGGCGGCGCAGCTCCCGCAGCCTGCGGCGGCGCGGCAGCTCGGGCTCGGGCTCGGGCTCGGGCGCGGGCGGGGGGCAGTGCCGGGGACGCAGCCAGCGCTGGCCGGCGCGGCGGAGAGGGGGCGCGTGGGGAGGAGACTGAGCTGGGGAGGGAGCCCCGCGCGCGATCCTTCGACCGTGTAGTGCCGGGGTGGGGGGGCGGCGCAGAAGGCCCCCTCTTGGGGAGCACGCCACTGGGAGGCGGGTCTCCGGGCTGAAGGAATCGCCCGAAACTTCGGAGAACCCGATGGTCTCTTCAGCCTCCTCCCCACCCTCTGCCCCGAGTCGAGGGGCGGCGAGTGCGCTCGGTTGCGCGTGCCCAGCCGCTGGCTGCGCCTCCTCCCGGGGGCCTCCAAGGTTTCCCTCCGCCCCCTTGTGGGGATCCCCTGCGCGCCAGGCTCTGGACCTGGAACCGGACTCTCCGGAGGCTCTTGCCTCACTGGAGTGTCCTGGATCCCCGCGCTACCCGGCTCGCACTTCACTCCCCGATTGCGCTGGACCCAACCCAATGCTGTGGCTGAAGAAGGAGGGCATCGGCACTGTCCCTGAATAAGGCGGCCTGAGGGTCCCTAGCCGACCTCAGGAGGAGGACCCTGGCTTCCCGCAGGGAACATCAGCCTGCCCCTAACCCCTGAGGTCACAGCCCTAGTTCCTCCATTCCTCTGCTCCCAGTTCCTGCCCTCACCTACTTAAAGTGGTAACTGTCCTAGAGTCTGGCCCGGCCCACAGCCCTGCAGAAGGTGCCCATTTAGAGAGGACACTAGTGGTCTCAGAACCACCCACCAGCCCTCCTCGGGCTTCCACTTGCCTCCCTAGGTCTGTGGGCTGGACGACAGATAAACAGCCCTAAGATGATGCCCTTGCGATGGGGCTGGGAAAAAAAGGGCAGGTTCAAAAGAGGATCATCTGGAAACTGGGGATCTGTGTGTGTGACTGTCTCCTATGAGAATACTTTGCCACAGACATCTAGACAGGTGAGCAGGAAGAAGGTTTCTCCAGTTCTAGGTCCAGGAGTGCCCAAAGTCCAAGTGTGTCCGCACCTGTGGGGGATCTAGCCCACAGCTTCTCAGATGACCCTGAACAGCACCTGGGGACAGCAGGGTCACAGAAAAGGACAAAGCAAACCTTCAAAGGTGGCTTCCTTTCCAGAGAGGGAGTATTTCACTCACAGAGACAGGAAGACTGCTTCTTGGGCATGTCATTTATTTACTCCTGTTGTCAGCTTAGCATCTTCCCAGACACACAGAACCCCTTCCTATGACGGCAGTGTGGTTGTCCTTTTGCTTTGGTTCCCAGCTACTGAGGAGGATTTAAAACTATGTTAAGTTCCTCTAGGCTGGAGTTGGGGTTGGGGTGGGGGGTTTTCTCCAGTGGTGTTACCTCCCTCAAATGTTCAGAAACACAAAAATAGAAGGTTAGGGGAGCAGAACACATTGCTTTTCCTTCAGCTAACTAGGGAACACACTCCAATAGTGTAAATAGGAAAAATAAAAATGAAAGAGGGAAGCTGGAACTAATTGGGCTGGGGAACAAACACGAGCTTAGGAGGAAATGGCCACAGGCATCAGAAATTGTATAATCGGGGGATGGGGAGAGGTATGGAGAGGAAGCAGGGAGGAGGGACCAGGTACTGTTGATTCCCTAGAAATCCTCCCAGCACCTGTGGTAAGTGAGAGGAAGAAACAGGGCAAAAGGGAGAGAGAGGGAAAGAGCTCACTCCTGTGGCACATAGAAATGACTTTTGAGTTAATATTCACTGTGACATTTCAGAGCAAAGAGGGTATTGAAGTAAAACAAAGACCCCTGAGCAGCCAGTCACCACCCAGGAAGAAAAATGGGGAAATCTGTTCCCAGGCCTGATAGAACCTTGGGCAGGTGGGTACCTCACTGCATGTGCCCCCACCCCACCCCAAGGCAATGGCTTCTCTGCAGGAAGGAGGGGGAAGGTTTCTTCTTGGGTCAGGCAAGACCCTCTTCTTCAAAAGGCACCTTTGGAGGTTGGGGGGCGGGGGATTCCTAAGTCCTCTGTCAGCAATGGGGAAGACAGGCAGATCCCAGTGGGCTCCTCTTCGAAGGAAAACAGCTATTTCTGTCCTACCTGTTCTCTCCCAGTTTTCAGAAGCCCCCCCGCTTCCCACAATTGAATTTTGTTAGAACCAGGAGCTGAAATCATTAATGTGCTACTTATCTTTCACCATCAGGATCGTCATCAATCCTGAGGTAGCTTTTGCCTTTTATTTCTTAATCTGCTTGTATTTGATCTCACATTTTTGTGCCGGGAGCCGTAGGGAGAAAATTCCAGGCCCTGCTATGTCAGTCTGAAGTTTAGCTTGCTTGGAAAGAGAGGCATCAGCCCGAGATACGCTGGGGCCTTTACCCTTCCAGGAATAAGCCAGGCACCTCCTCACTCAGGGCTGGGGGTCACTGTGCATGGCCCCTGTTTTCACCTCCCATCCACATTCCAGTTTTCATTCTGTGTAAAGACTTTGGATCTGATGCGGGGGCACAGAAGTGATTCATCTTTCTCCTAGCTCTGCCTTTATAACAAAAGTTAAAGGCCTCCCATGACCACATTCGCTGATGCTCAGCCCAGAAGAGCTCTTACATCAGCCAGTGAGCGGAGCCTTATCTGCACCCAGAAAACCAGCAGCTCCTGGGCCCTCCTGTGTTCTTTCCAGGTCTCCAGCCTCCCCTTGCCCACAGCACCCAGACCTGACAGCAGTTTCCACAACAAAGCAGGGTCCTATCTCCATAACACCAAACAATGCCAGTTGTGTCAGGCAAACCACCGACTGAGAAGGAAGGAAGGGAAGCAACAAGAAAATCAGAAGCCACTTGCTGGCTGAGGTTACTTACCAGGGCTGCACTCTAACACAGGAAGACATGGCCCAAGCAAAAGGAGACCACCAGAGGTGAACAGAAAACCTTTTTACATCTCTTTTACCATATTTTTGTTAAGGAAGCTCTATACCCAACAAGGAGTTTGAACCCCAAGATTAAGAGTCACGTGCTCTACAAACTGACCCAGCCAGGCACCCCTCACAGAAAACTTCTAAGCACAGGAAGGCCAAATGTTGGCAGATGAGGGAATAAAAAGGAGAAACTCTTCCGTGGAATGTTTCTGGAACAGTCCTCAGGTATAGTACTCCTTCCATGTGCCTAGAGACAACCACCCAGGCCTCCTGTCACCACCTGACTCGGTAATCTATGGCACTGACCAAACTGACCTGTAGCCCTTCACCTGCGGACATGTCACCTTGTGCACGTGCAGTTCCCCAGATTTGGACAAAACCCCAACTTCACCCTGGAAAGCCTGACTCTTGCTCTCCCTCTTGTTCTTATCAGCTACCTTTCTTAAAAGCCAGTAAAACTGCTCTGTTAGACTCTTCCTGAGCTGTCAGCATTTTGAAGAACACAAATTATCACTCCTGTATGTGTGTGAGTCCACACTCCACATCCAGAGGCATTTGGGAGCACCCTGTTGGCACGTGGGGCTCACGTTACCTTAAATGTTAAGGAAGAGTTAAGCAAAACTGCTCGTTTTATGATAGTTTCCAATTTTTTATTTTCCTTTTGCCCAATTGTCTGCTTTTGTTTGGCAATTTGGACTCACTATGTGAATATGGCTGTAGATCTTTTTTTTTCCCTGGTGGAACACTGTCATACTCACAGCTGCCCATCATCTTTTTCTATTAAGATTTTTTTATTTATTTGAGAGCCAGCATGCACGCATGTGAGTGGAAGAGTCAGAGGGAAAGGGAGAGAAATTCTTAAGCAGACTCTGAGCTGAGCACAGAGTCTGACATGGGGCTGGATCTCAATGACCCTGAGATCATGACCTGAGCTCAAACCAAGAGTCAGATGCTTAATGGACTATGCCACCCACCATCTTTTTTTTAAAAAGTAGGTATTACAATATACATATAGTAAAATGCACGCAGCTGAAGCATGGAGTGCAATGATTGTATGTACATATGTACACCCTATGTGGGTTCCACATCACGAATTAGAAGATTTCCTGATCACCTCCTCCCCCACCCCCGCCACCCGGAAGACTCCTTGTACCAACCCTCCAGTAGGCAGTAACCCTCTGAAAACAACCCTTTGCAGGTCCTTGCTGCCTGTCCTTGAACTTCAGGTAAATGGATGCTTCCTTCTGTGGGATCTGTCCACACGGGTGTGTAGAGCTGTGATTTATTTATTTTTTTCATGCTGCGTAGGTGTGTATTGTTTTTACCTGATGCTTCAGTTCCCTTCCAAGTTTGGTGTAAGCCAAGAATATCAAATCAGTGCCTCTGGATCAGAGACAAATGATCTCCCAGATTGGCTAGTTTTATAAGGAACTTCAGCTGA